AGACGACTGCTGTTATTATTGCACCAGCTATACTCGGGAACAGATCTAAGAGTGAGGTTAGGGCTATCAGGCAAGCTATCGAACAACATTGAAACTAAAAGAGGAGTTAGGCAAGGCTGCTTGCTAGCACCTTTTTTGTTTAACTTCTACGTGAATAACCTAGTGGCCGAGTTGAGCTCCCCTGAACATTTTCCCCCAGCAGTAGGTAACAGGAGAATCCAAATCCTATTATATGCGGATGATATGGTGCTACTCTCATCTACGCAAATAGGTCTCAGGAGACTTTTGAGGTCACTAAGTAGAGTCTGTAAACAAGAGAAGCTGACAATCAATCACTCAAAAACCAAAGTGATGGTATTTTCCAAAAGGAAGCAAAGACACACCTGGAAATTGGATGGTCACTCAATAGAGCAGTGTGATAGTTTTAAATATCTGGGCTTACACTTCGCATACAACGGTAACTGGAAGAACCATATAGAGGCAGCCAAATTATCTGCCTGGAGGTCAGCGAAAGCAATCCTAGCCTTTGGAAAAACAAAGGGAGGTTCACTAGTTTGTCCCACAGTAAAGATTTTTGTCGCTAAAACTTTACCCCAACTGTTATATGGAGCGGAAATTTGGGGGCAAGGTAATGCAGAACAGGTTGAATGCATTCAGAACAAGTTTGCAAGAGCTCTTCTAGCCCTTCCCTCGGGAACCCCAGCCGCCTTGTTAAGACTGGAATTAGATCTTCCCTCACTCAAGGCCAGAATGCACAAGCTTAAGATCTCGTATGGGAAGAGATTGCTAGGATTGGAGGAGGAGAGCATAGCAAAGCAATGCTTGAGGGAACAGTTCAATCGGGGAGGATGGGTGCAATCCTGGCTAGCCTTGCTGCATCAATATTTTGATGGGTCAATAACATCTCTAATGCAGCTGGACAAGAAGGCGATTAGTGATAAAATCTTTGAGAAGGATGCAGCTGACAACTTGGAGATTAGTAAAAAGCAAGGTTTTTCTATATGGTATCCCAGACTAAAGAGTGACCAATACTGCCAACAATATCTTCAAGACCTAACCTCAGCAGTGTTGAGGAAAGCCTTTACAGCCCTGCGCTTCCAAACAATGCCCTCAAACTGGCTAGAAGGGAGATACAGAGGGATCCCCCATGCCCAAAGGCTTTGCATTTGTGGCGCCGGGGAAAAAGAAGATCTAACACACTATCTATTACACTGCCCTTTGTATAATGACCCCAGAAAAAATCTCCTGGGAACACTCCTTGAAGAAAGGGCAGCATGGCAAGAACCTGCCGTAATTGGTGACCTTCTAGCAGATTATGACAAAAATATAACACTAAAAGTAGCCACATTTGCAATTGCAGCCCAAAAGATCAGAGACAGAGTAGTAAAATCCTCGCTGGAGACTAGAGAGGGAAAGGGAGATGGCTAGGGAGGACACAGACCAGACGCGGTTTTTGCTAGGTTTCTGCCAGCAAAATTTTAAAGTACTAGTCTTTTAAATCTTGAACGAGTTTTGGCTAACATTGGATTGTATTTAATGTGTTTATAGAGGTTGTATGTTTTTGATGTCATGGCCTATGGCTAGTGCAATAAACTTTATTCACTATATTCTATGCTACTCAGACTTCATCTGGAACACTATGTTCAATTCGGGGTGTTGCATTTTGAAAAGGATATAGGCAAACTGGAGCAAGTTCACAGGAAGGGAACAATTATGTATGGGAAACAAAACCAAAAAATCCAAGGAAAGGTTGAAAGAGCTAGGCTCGTTTAGCTTGGTAACGAAAAGAATGAGGGATAATATGACTTCATTCTTTAAAGACCTCAATGACTGATACAGAGGAGGGAGTGGGCTTTAAGGTATAGGAGAATATATTTTGGTTGAGTATTAGAAGGAACTTGACAGTAAGAGCAGTTCAGTAATGGAACCAATTGTCTAGAGGGGTAGTAGAGTATCCTTCAAAGGGTATATTCAGAAAGAGACTGGACAGCTCCTTGATGGCAATGCTTTAACTGGAGATCCAGCAGGGAGTTGGACTGCAACTCTATGACTCTATATCAAAATACATCACCATCTCTGCTTTATTTGCCTGATTCTGAAGTTTTTGGACTGCCTATTGAGACCTTCTGCTTCAACTCACCATTGCTCTGGTCTTTGCCCCATCAGCCCAATGGCAATCAACCCAATGGCACAGCCTCTGTGCCATTTCTATCTATCATACTGCACCCACTTCTTAATGTACCGAGAACTAATGTTTGTATAAACTCTGAAAAATTGCTGAACAGCCTAAAAGGTTAATCTGCCTATGTTGATATGACCTGAATAGCAACAAAATCGAAGGTATTTTAAAGCAATGGTTCCCATGGGGTCATGCAAATCTTCAGAAAATATTTTTTTTCTGCAGAACTCTTACTACATATATCCCTGATTTGTTGAATCAAAATATATTTTGGATCATTTTACACTAATTCAAATATGTCTCCCAATTTCCTATATAACATTCAATTTTTGAATAAATTTTACTGTGATGTTTTATGAATATTCCAAATGTCTTTTATGTTAAAAAAAACTTTGTAAGAAAGTAAAAATTCAAAAAGAAATGTGGAACCAATGTGAAAAATCGACTACATATGAATCACATGTTGTAAAAAGTTGAAATGTGCACCCAGCATACGTGAGAGCAACAGCTATAACTATTACAGAGAATGTAAATCCAGTAGAGTTGGTCTGGTGTGGTTTTATTTTAAAATGCATTTTAAATTTGATTTTTAAGGTTTTTCATGGAACCGCCCTAATATGATGCTTTTTGTGGAAACCTGAGCTTTTGTGGAGCACAGGCCCCTTTCACACAGCTGAAGAAAATCCCACATTATCAGCTTTGGCCTGGAATATAACCCTATTCAAAGCAGATATTGTGGGATTTTCTGCCTTGATATTCTGGGTTATATGGCTCTGTGGAAGGGCCCACAGTTTGGGAAATGCTGCTCTAAAGCACCTGGATTCCTCAGCTGGCTTCCCGATACAAGCACCTGCTTTGATACTGCATTGCACAGGTGTTAGGGATGCCTTGTGGGCGTGGGGATCTATCAGTACTCCCTTTTAACTTAAAAATTCCCACACACATTGATCTTGCACTTTCTCAGGAAGGCATGGGATCCAAGCTCTATCTAAATATCAGAATGGGAGCCACATGGGAGGGCACTGTGGGGTATTTGGTCATGTTAATAGTTTTATCGAATTTTTATTTATTACTTACTCAATTCTACTTTAATATATGAATGTTATGGGGTGTGAACTGTACTTTTTTGGGGTTGCTGTGAATTTTCCGGGTTGTATGGTCATATTCCAGAAGCATTCCCTCCTGATGTTTTGCCCACATCTATTGCAAGCATCCTCGAAGGTTGCGAGATTTGTTGGAAATTAGACACATGGAGTTTATATATCTGTGGAATGTCCAGGGTAGGAGAAAGAATTCTTGTCTGTTTGAGGCAAGTGTGAATGCTGCAACTGATCACCTTGATTAGCATTAGGAGCCCCCGGTGGCGCAGTGGGTTAAACCCCTGTGCCGGCAGGACTGAAGACCGACAAGTCGCAGGTTCGAATCCGGGGAGAGGCGGATGAGCTCCCTCTATCAGCTCCAGCTCCTCATGCGGGAACATGAGAGAAGCCTCCCATAAGGATGACAAAAAAACATCAAACCATCCAGGCGTCCCCTGGCCAACGTCCTTGCAGACGGCCAATTCTCTCACACCAGGAGTCACTCCTGACACGACAAAAAAAAAAGCATTGAATAGCCTTGCAGCTTGAAGGCTTTGGCTGCTTCTTGCCTGCCTTTGGCTGCTTCCACTTGCCTTGTTTCCAACAAACCTCACAACCTCTGAGCATGCCTGCCATAGATGTGGGTGAAACGTCAGGAGAGAATGCTTCTGGAACATGGCCATACAGCCCGGAAAACCCACAGCAACCGAATGATTCCGGCCATGAAAGCTTTTGACAACACACCGTACTTACTGTTTCTATTGTTGTTTTATATGGTTTTAATGCTTAATCTGTATTTTGCTATTATGTGTTGTAAACAGCCTTGAGTCGCTGATAGGCAGTATACAAGTATAGTAAATAAATAAAACTCTTTTTAATGTTGTGAGGTGCTTGGCATTATTGAGATAACAGAAAGGTTTCCCCTTGACATTGATTCTAGTTGGGTCCAACTCTGGGGGTGGGGGTGGTGCTCATCTTTATTTCTATGCCAAAGAGCCGTCATTGTCCGCAAACACCTCCTAGGTCATGTGGTTCTCAACCTGTGGGTCCCCGAATGTTTTGGCTAAAACTCCCAGAAATCCCATCCGGTTTACCAGCAGTTAGGATTTCTGGGAGTTGAAGGCCAAGACATCTGGGGACCCACAGGTTGAGAACCACTATCCTAGGTCATGCATGGAGCATCGTTTACCTTCCTGCTGGGGCGATACCCAGTGATCTACCCATATTTGCATGTTTTCTAATTGCTAGGTTGACAGAAGCTGGGGCGAATGGCGGGAGCTCACCCTGGATTCAAACCACCAATCTTTCCGTCAGCAACTTCAGCAGCTTAACCCGTTACACCACTGGTGACTCCATCTAGAGATAACAGCGGGATACAAATAAAGCGTAATACCGGCCATGGCTCAGTGCTATGGAATTCTGAAATCTGCAGTTCTGTAAGAGCAAACTACAAATCCCAGGATTCCCTAGCATGGAGCAATGGCCGTCCAAAGGGCTGTCAAAGGGCTGTCACCCTGCAGAGTGGATTAATGGAGGGCAGGCGCCGGCCTTCCTAGAGCCAAATGGCGCCCTTTGCCCTCTTTGCCTCCACAGGAGCCCGGCGAAGCTCAAGCCCACACCGCTGCTCTGCGCCCTTCGGCCGGAAGGGTCAGGGAGAGAGCCGAAGGGGAGAAAGGCTGGCCCGCTGCTCCCTCTCCCTCCTCCTCGCTCCCTCCTTCCTTCCTTCCTTCCCTCAGACTTACCGGCCGGAACGCTGAGGCGGCGGGCCCCCTTTTCTCCTGGCCGCCGGCTGCGCCGTTCACGCGTCGCCTTGCGTGCTGACGTCACTTAGCAACGGCGCCCCAACTGGCCTACGCGCTGACGTCCAAAGTGACGTCAGAGGGGAGTCAGAATTCCGTAGATCTATGAAACAATAGAATGCTGCGTTTCACTCTTTAAACTGAAAAAGGAGGGGTCACTTTAAAACAAGCTTGGGGAGTTTAACTTTATAATAATTTTTATTAATCATCTTGCCTATTTGTTTTATATCTTGGTTTTAAAAAATTTATTATTTGCATAATTTGTTTTTACAATTGTACAGTTTTACATAAAGTCTTAAAAAAACGAATTCAAAGTCTGAGTTGCTGTAGTTTTTCCTGGCCGTATGGTCATGTTTCAGAAGCAAAAAGTGGGTGCTAGAAACAATATCATACGAAAGCGGACTGGCACAACCTGGGGATCACAACCAGACACAGTGAAGACATCTGCCCTTGCGCTATGCTACTCTGCTGCTGAGTATGCATGCCCAGTGTGGAACACATCTCACCACACTAAAACAGTGGATGTGGCTCTTAATGAGACATGCCGCATTATCACGGGGTGTCTGCGCCCCACACCACTGGAGAAATTACACTGCTTAGCCGGTATTGCACCACCTGACATCCGCCAGGAAGTAGCAGCCAATAGTGAAAGGACCAAGGCAGAGACATCTCCAGCTCATCCCCTGTTTGGGTATCAGCCAGCACGTCAACGACTTAAATCTAGAAATAGTTTTCTAAGATCTACAGAGACACTTGCTGGAACACCTCAGCAAGCGAGAGTCCAAAAGTGGCAGGCTCAAACCCAGAACCTCAACCAATGGCTGATACCAAATGAGAGACTCCCCCCTGGGCACTCAGAAGACTGGGCGACTTGGAAGGCGCTGAACAGACTGCGCTCTGGCACCACAAGATGCAGAGCCAACCTCAAGAAATGGGGCTACAAAGTGGAATCCTCGACATGCGAGTGTGGAGAGGAGCAAACCACTGACCACCTGCTGCAATGCAACCTGAGCCCAGCCACATGCACAATGGAAGACCTTCTTGCAGCAACACTAGAAGCACTCCAAGTGGCCAGATACTGGTCAAAGGAGATTTAATCACCTACCAAACTCACAAATTTTGTATTTTGTCTGTTTGTTTGCTTTGCTCTGTTAGAAATGTAATATAATTTGACTGGTTGTCCTGACACGATAAATAAATAAAAAATAAAATAAAGAAGCATTCTGTCCTGACATTTCGCCCACATCTATGGCAGGCATCCTCAGAGGTTGTGAGGTCAATTGGAAATTAAGCAAGTGAGGTTTATATATCTGGAATAATGTCCAGGGTGGGAGAAAGATCTCTTGTTTGAGGTAGGTGTGAAGACATTGGATATTTTTATGTGCTTAATAGTTTTGTATGGATTTTATAATGCTGTTTTAAATGTTTTTCATTGTACACTGTGATTGTTATGGCATCTAACTGCTACCAACTTGTAAGTCGCCTCCAGGCTGAGAAAGGCGGGATAGAAATATTGTAAATAAATAAATGTTGCAATTGGCCACCTTATTAGCATTGAATGGCCTTGCAGCTTCAAAGCCTGACCGCTTTCTGCCAAGGGCAGGGATCCTCAAACTAAGGCCGGGGGCCAGATGTGGCCCTCCAAGGTCATATACCCGGCCCGCACTCAGGGTCAACCTAAGTCTGAAGTGACTTGAAAGCACACAACAACAACAATCCTATCTCATCAGCCAAAAGCAGGCCCACACTTCCCATTGAAATACTAATAAGTTTATATTTGTTAAAATTGTTCTTCATTTTAATTATTGTATTGTTTTTAAGTGGGTTTTTTTTGCACTACAAATAAGATATGTGCAGTGTGCATAGGAATTCACGTTTTTTCAAATTATAGTCCGGCCCTCCAACTGTAACAGTTGGAGGACTGTGACCTTGCCCTCTGTTTAAAACAGTTTGAAGGACTGTGACCTGGCCCTCTGTTTAAAAAGTCTGAGGACCCCTGGCCTAGAGGATCCTCTGTTGGAGGTGTTAGCTGGCCCCGATTGATTCCTGTCTGGAATTCTCCTGCTTTTTGAGTGTTACTCTTTATTTATCTGGCTACCAATATGAAAAAAAAACTCTAAAATCATAACAGTAAATAAAGAGCAACACTCAAAATGCAGGGGAATTCCAGACAATAATCAATCAGGGACAGCTAACACCTCCCAACAAAGCATCCCCAGGCAGCAACCAGCCAGGCTTTGAAGCTGTAAGGCCACTGAATTCTAATCAAGGTGGCCAATTGCAACATTCACACCTGCCTCAAGCAGACAAGAGTCTTTTCTCCCACTCTGGACATTATTCCACAGATATATAAACCTAGTTTCCAACAGACCTCACAACCTCTGAGGATGGCTGCCATAGATGTGGGAGAAACGTCAGGATTACTGCTTCTGGAATATGGCCATACAGCCCGGAAAACTCACAGCAACCCAGTGATTCCGGCCGTGAAAGCTTTTGGCAACACATTGAAATCAAAATCCTTCATAGCAAGAAAAAACGCAAAAGTCCTTTTAAAAAATAAAAATAAATAAGTGGTATCTATGGGAAGCCTTTAAAAATTATTAAATTGCTTAAAAATTCCATTATCCCAAAATCAAAGTCCTATTGTTTTTTTAAGGTATCTGTGGCAACTTTGTAAAAGAATAAAATCAAACTCATGTTTCCTTTTCAAAGGGCCTCCCTAGAACTTCAAAACCCTTCCTTCTCTAGGAGAGGCGTGGCTTAAAGAAGGCTGCCCTCATTTGCATGCCTCGTCGCTATTGGTCAGGACGCGTTCTATCTCGCCACTGCAAGGCGCCGCCGCGCTCGTTCGGGAGGAGGAAGGAGCCCGTGGGCCACCATGTCCGAGCAAGCTGAGCTCAGCGGTCTCACCGATGAAGAGGCCTCCAGCGCCTGCTCGGACCCCCACCCCAGCACCAAGGTAAAGGCCGGAGAGAGAAGGTTTGGCCCTGGTGGGAGGCTGCCCTGCCCGCCTCCCCCCTCCCCCGTAAAACAGGCAAGCCAAGCCCGAAACCGGGAGGGAGGGATTGCCTTTGCCAAGGCGTTTCTTCTAAGGAGCGGGGCCAAAACCACCAGGCTGGGTGTTACCTTTCACCCCAAAATTGGAGCGCCTGAACTTTAAAGGCGGTGACTTGGAGGATCAGGTTCCCTCCAGGCCTGGGGAGTGCATCTACACTGCAGAATGAGTGCAGTTTGACAACACTTGGCTCAATTCTATGGAGTCCTGAGAGTTATAGTTTCACAAGGTAGTGCTTAGCTAACAAACTGACTGCTAATACTGGAACCCCCCCCCCACACACACACACACACACACACACCACTTTTAAAACAATTCTGAAGTGGGTTGCTGTGAGTTTTCCAGTCTGTATGGCTATGTTCCAGAAGCATTCCCTCCTGACGTTTCACCCACATCTATGGCAGGCACCCTCAGAGGTTGTGAGGTCTTTTGGAATCTAAGCAAGGGAGGTTTAGATATCTATAAAAGGTCCATGATGGGAGAAAAGAACTCTTGTCTGTTGGAGGCAAGTGTGAATGTTGCAATTAATCACCTTGATTAGCATTGCAAAGCCTTGCAGCTTCAAGGCCTGGCTGATTCCTGTCTGGGGGAAATCCTTTGTTGGGAGGTGTTTACTGGCCCTGATTGTTTCATGTCTGGAATTCCCCTGTTTTCAAAGTGGTGTTGACCACCTTTATTAGCCTTGAATGTCTGTTGGAAGCAAGTGTGAATGTTGCAATTAATCACCTTGACTAGCAACATTCACACTTGCCTCAACCAGACAAGAGTTCTTTCTCCCACCCTGGACCTTCTACAGATATGTAAACCCCAATTGCCTAGTTTCCAACAGATCTCTCAACCACTAAGGATACCTGCCATAGATGTGGTTGAAACGTCAGGAGAGAATGCTTCTGGAATATGGCCATACAGCCCGGAAAACTCACAGCAACCCAAAGATTCCTGCCATGAAAGCCTTCGACAATATATCCATTCTGAAGTGCCTAAGTTTCTACTGAAGTCTTCTTATAATGATGGCATTCGCACGGTCTGTTGCTGTGCACCATTGTTGCTATTTAAAAAGAACAAGCAACAAACTTTCTTTTAATTGGTTACTTCCAAACTCAAGTCCTAAGAGTATCCATAGTTCTATTTTGCCACATGAAATCAGTTAAATGGGAGGAGAATTTTAATAGTGTCTTTCATGGTTCATAGACATTTAATAAGTTCTCTCTTTTCAGGATTTTCTGATGCAACAGACAATGTTAAGAATAAAAGATCCCAAAAAGTCACTGGATTTTTATACCAGAGTTCTTGGAATGACGTAAGTGCAAACTCCTTTTGGCTAGATTGCCCCCTCCACTTCATTAGGGCTTCAATAGCTAATTCTTCTCAAACTGAAGCATGCCAATCTGTAGATACGTGTGACTGGGTCCATAGTTGCATGACCTATTTTCAGCACGGCTTAGGAGATTGAACACAACTTAACTAGATGGGTTGAATTCAGTTGTAGTATTCGGTTTATGAAAAAGCCTTTAGCCCAAAAAGATGCCGGTTGAATAAATGATCTGGGATTTTTGTCAGTGGTCCATGGAGGAGCCCCCGGTGGCGCAGTAGATTAAACCCCACAGGTTCGAATCCAGGGAGAGGCGGATGAGCTCCCTCTACCAGCTCCAGCTCCTCATGCGGGGACATGAGAGAAGCCTCCCACAAGGATGATAAAAACATCAAATCATTTGGGTGTCCCCTGGGCAATGTCCTTGCAGAAGGCCAATTCTCTCACACCAGAATTGACTTGCAGATTCTCAAGTCTCTCCTGACACGACAAAAAAAAAGTGGTCCATGGAAATCTATTGTTTAGGATTGGGAGTATCTCTAAAACCCTTCAGGGTACTGTTCCATTATCTAGCGGAACTCCAAAAGGGAACCTATACAGCAGTGTTTCTCAATCTTCCTAATGTTGCGAACTCCTAATACAGTTCCTCATGTTGTGGTGACCCCCAACCATAAGATTATTTTCATTGCTACTTCATAATTGTAATTTTGCTATGAATCGTCATGTAAATATCGGATATGCAGGATGTATTTCCTTTCACTACACCAAATTTGGCACAAATATGCAATGCTCACAAATTTGAATATTGGTGGGGTTGGGGGAGGGATTGATTTTGTTATTTGTAGTTGCTGGGATTGATAGCATTTTGAACTCCATCAATGATAACCACAGAACTCCCAGGACCAACAGAAAATACTGGATGGGTTTGGTGGACATTGACCTTGAGTTTTGGAGTTCACTACATCCAGAGAGAACTGTGGACTCAAACAATGATGGATCTGGACCAAACTTAGCACAAATACTCAATATGCCCAAATGTGAACACTGGTGGAGTTTGGGGAAAATAGAACTTGACATTTGGGAGTTGTAGTCACTGGGATTTATAGTTCACCTACAATCAAAGAGCCCCTTGAACCCCACCAACAATAGAATTGGGCCAAGCTTCCCACATAGAATCCCCATGACCAACAGAAAATACTGTTTTCTGATGGTCTTTGGTTACCCCACTGACACCCCCTTGCAACCCTTCCAGGGGTCCTGACCCCCAGGTTGAGAAACACTGGCTTAGACAGAGAAGGATAGTTTATTTTAGGTGGGGGGGAGGAGTTGAAGAAGGAAAACCATTTTCACTGTTTATTGCCCCCTTCCCCATATTAAATTGTTTATTGTATCAGCCGTAGGCCATGACATCAAATAATATACAAACTTTAAAAGTACAACAAGCACTTTTCAATATAAAGTTATTCTATATACTGGCTCTTTAAAATTACAGTAGCAGTGGTATGATAACAATAACAATGTCTGATGCCTCTAGAACATGGCCATATAGCCCAAAAAAACCCACAAGAACTGAGTGATTCCGGCCATGAAAGCCTTCGACAATACAATGTCTGATTTGTATAATCCCAAACTATCTTCTCTAGCCTCCACTGTGGACTTTACTAATGGTATTTTTTTTGCACTGTGACTACAAATGTGACAACCTTTAATGTTATATTTTTGGAATAATCTGCTATCAAATCACAGATAACTATTGACTGTTGCCATGCTGCCCTTTCTTTCAAAAGGGGTCCCAGAAGATTGTTTCTAGGGTAATTATACAAAGGGCAATGGAACAGATAGTGTATTAAATCTTCTGTTCTCCCCACTCACAAATACAAAGTCGTTGGGCATGAGGGATCCTTCCGTATCTTCCCTCTAGCCCAGTGGTTCTCAACCTGTGAGTCCCCAAGTGTTTTGACCTACAACTCCCAGAAATCCCAGCCAGTTTACCAGCTTTTAAGATTTCTGTGAGTTGAAGGCCAAAACATCTGGGAACCCACAAGTTGAGAATCTCTGCTTTAGCCAGCCTGATGGCATTGTTTGGAAATGCAAGACTGTAAATGCTTTGCTAAGGGCTACAGACGTTAAGTCTTGAAGATATCGTTGACAATATTGGTCACTCTTTAGTTGAGGGTGCCAAGCAGTGAAATCCTGGTGTTTACTAGTTCTCAAGTTGTCATATGCATCCATCTCAAAGATTTTATCTCTAAATGCCTTCTTGTCCAACTGCATTATGGTTGTTGTTGACCCATCAAAACACTGATGGAGCCGGGCCAACCAGTATTGAGCCCAACCTCCCTGCTTGTATTGCTCCATCAAACATTACTTTGTTATACTCTCATCCTCCATTTCCAGAAGTCTCTTCTCAAATGAGATGTTAAGCTTATGCATTCTGGCCTTAAGTGAGGGAAAATCCAATTCAAGCCTTAACAAGGCAGATGGTGTCCCAGAGGCCCCTTTCCCATATCATAAACAATAGTTTATTCCACAATGGTGGAGGGAATAACAGGAAAACAGAGGGAAATGATTTAACTCCTTAAACCCACCCACCCCCCAAATAAAATGGACTATTATTCTCTCTCTAGTGCCCCCTTGTGGCCTCCACCCAGATCACAGAACAGTACCCAGTTCAATAGTGAAGATGATGACAATGATGATGAGAGAGAACTAAAGGTTTAATCAGGAAGAGCTGCCTCCTTTCTTCAGTAGTTTAGTGAAAGCCCTAGCTAAAACACAGGGCTTTCCCAGAAAAAGGGAAATTCTATGGAAAGGCAATTGAAAGTAACTCACTATTTCTAACTAATGCAAAGAAGTAAAATTTAAAACCAAAGTCCCAAAGTGTTCAGCCCTAAAATGATCTATGCAATTCCTGGAGAAGGAGTAATATCATTGCTCTTCCATCTCCTTAAATGCTGGTGAAGGATTTCGCGCAGTGGCTTCCAACCTTTGGACCTCCAGGTGTTTTGGATTTTAGCTCCCACAATTCCAAAGGTGGCTGGGATTTCAGGGAATTGAAGTCCAAAACACTTAAGAGGCCCAAAGATTGGGAACCACTGTTTTAGAAGTTACACAGTGGAGTATCTAACAGTATTCCTCAGTAGAATAAAAGCAAGGTCCTATTCTTTTTTCACTCTAGATCTGGGGTATATGATTGTGCCAAATGGTGAGAGATAGAGGGTGCATGAACCCCTGTATTCATTTCCTATTTGCAGGATCTCAATAACGGTAAACAACATGTTTTTTATATATTTAGTTGCAATGTTATGTTAAGTGATGTCTGTCATTGAGTTCTTTAACCCAGTTACCTTGTATTTGAGCACTGACTCACGATGATGCAAATTACTTCCCTATGTTGATTTTAAAAAATCATGTGAGATTCAAAAATAGTGCATTCAGTCCAAGACGACTTTGTAGCTGCATCTTATTATCCTAGGCCAGGGTGGATACACTGTGTGGCTTAATCTCTTGTTGCACTACAGCGCCCATCAGTTTTTTTTCCAGGAGAGATAATAGTAAGACATGATAGGAGTTGTGGCCTGCCAATTTTGGGAAGTTCATGAGTTGCCCACTTAGTGACTGATGTTCCTGGTGTTAGAACAACTTTGTTGTGTTTTGTAGAATTCTTAAGGTAAAGCATGATTATACATGTCATGTGTATGGTATATCTAATAAGATAACTAATCTATTGGAAGTAGGTGACAACATGGAACCATGGAGATGATTAGTTCCCTCAGGGTGGGAGGGAAGGTTAAAAAGAAAGTGTTGTAGTAGTAGTAGTAGTAGTAGTAGTAGTAGTTTGATCAGAGTTTGAACAAGATTTTTGAAAGGCTGCTATGTGAGAGTCAGTGTGAAAGATATGAGTCAGAGATAGAAATTATTAGATTCAGAAATATCACTTAGGACGCATTTAAACTGTAGAATTCAGATGGGCACTCCTTTAACTTCCATGACACAATGCTATGGATTAATGGGAATTGTAGTTTTGAAAGATCTTCATTGCCAGATTGTGCTGGTGCCTCGCCAAACTGCAGCTCTCCTGATTCCATAGCATTGAGTCATGGCAATAATTCTGCAGTGTGGATGCACCTTAAATTAAGGAAGAGACAGTTAAGATTGAAATGAGAGACAAGAAAGTGAAGGGAAGGAGTTTGCATCATTTAGAACAGAGCTTTCCAAACTATGTTGTGACATGTTACAGTATCGGCTGCAAGGTGTAGGTCTGTTGTGCAAACATAACCTTTGAGTCTGTGAAATAAGAAATACCACTGAAACATGGAAGCTTAAAAATGCTTGATGCCAAAATGTTACTTTTTTGTCTAATATTCCACCATCTTATTATCCTAGGCCAGGGTGGATGCGCTTAATCTCTTGTTGCACTACAGCTCCCATCAGCTTTTTCCAGGAGAGATAATAATAAGACATGATAGGAGTTGTGGCCTATTTTATTGTTGTCTAATATTCCACCAAATATCCAAACTCTGTGTTCATCCCATCAACTTCATACTTCCCATTAAAATAAGTAGTTGTTTTATTAGTGTTACATATTTTAAAGTCTTGCACATATTCACATATTGTTACTCATAAATGGCAAATATCTTGGAAATGTATATTACTCTAACAAGTAATATGTTTAAAAATATATAAATGACAGATATTGTATCCCCAATCATTTTGTTATTACAATTTATATATTCTTTTAAAGGGTTGGTTTAACCTCTGATTTTCTAGTAGAACTGAATTACTGTGTCACTAAATGATGAATATTTGAAAAATATGTCACCAACATGGAATAGTTGGAAAGCTCTGACTTAGAAAAATTGGCTGGGTTCAGCTAGGCTGTTAAAGAAATAGGGAGAGAGTTATTGACATGGATTAAAGCCAATTGCCACATCTGAATTTGTGTTCAGATAAGTTAAAATTCAAGGCTTAGATGCTAGTGTTATTTTGTAACCAAAAGCTTCTGTACACAGAGTCATCTTCCGGTGTATGTTGAATGCAGCTGAAATAAATTATTATTGCAGCGCGCACACACACATTCTTGGAAATGCTGCATTAATGATATTTTGGAGTGGTTGAGGTTAGACCCATAATTGTTCACAGATGGTGATAACTTGGGTACCATAGCAGTTGAATCAAGGGATTTCCCCGCAGCAAGTCAATAGCTGTCATAGTAATGGCAAACTGTGAACATGACCTTGAAGGTCATTCCTGGACTTGGACTTCAACAGGCACTCTACAAAGGATGGTAGAGCTTTCTCTTTTGTTGGGTAAAACACACCAGGAAAGTGGTTCAGCTAGTAGTACAAGAGTCTCTGACCACAGAAATGTGGAATGGGTGCCAGAGTTGAGTCAAAAGTCATGTTGAGAAAACGTTGCAACAAATTGTGAAAACCGGTTAAATGGCAGATTATTGTCAGAACAGAGGTATACTTGTATGGGAGCTATATATGCAAAATATTACAGGATTTTTTAAAAAGTGCATAAAGAGCTCTGTGACACCCGGAGGCAAGGTCCAGGAGGGTTGAAAGAAGGAAACACAAAGAGACTGAAGAAAAAAAACTTCTTGATTAAGTTACATCTGTCTTCTAGTCTTATGGGATCTATCTACAAATACGATAGTTTTTGTATGCTGCATTGAAACAGGACAGAAAGTGATAGTGATGACGAAGGATATTTTTCTTAGAAGCACCTGTTCAAACTGATAGCCTTTAAGGGCAGAACCTCTCAGTTGCATAGGAATTACTTTCTAGTGAACTCATGGGCAAACACACTTTGGTTTGTGTTTTACACATTTACAGCAGCCTAGATGTTGTCAAGAGATCAATAAAGTAGGAGTGAAAATACAGGTGGCAGGCAACACCAAAGAATTTTGACTGTTGAATGATGTATACAAAGTACTTCTTGCATCCTTTTTGAGTAATGAATCCCTGTATAGTGCTGTGAAAGGTTGGGACTATCACCCCTAGAATCCCCTAGTCAGTATGGGATAAACAAGAACACTTTCAAATTGTACTTGTTTGTTCTATGAAGTAACACACCTTGCATCAACATAAGAAGAAGGGTGCGGTATAGTGTTCTGGTTAAATATTATATATTATATTATACTAGCAATGTAGGATCTGTTTGTATGGATGTTAGAAACATATATAAAAATGTGTGCCATATTTTATATGGAGTTTTGCTTTTAATGTGGTTCAATACTTAAATTTATTGAAGGGGTAGCAATTACAAAAAAAAGATATTATTATCCCGTTCAGCTTCTTACATAAAAATGAAGTGTTTCTCATAAGTGGTAGAATTGAATATAGCAGGGCTCTAATAAGACGGGAAAATTAAAAGAACTTTGAGCTGCCTTTCTATGAAGAGTTACTAGCTTGATAGATGCAGGGAATGCTGTAGATGTAGTATATCTTGATTTTAGTAAAGTCCCCCATGACCTTCTTGCAAACAGACTAGTCAAATGTGGCAATACTACTATTAGGTGGATCTAGAAAGAAGTGACTGGTGGAGTGCCACAGGATTTAGTACTGGGCCCAGTTCTGTTCAACGTCTATTAATAACTTGGGCAAAAGTTTAGAGGGCATGCTTATCAAGTTTGCAGATAACACCAAATTAGGAAGGATGGCTAATACTCCAGAGGACAGGATCAGAACTCAAAATGACCGTAGCAGATTAGAAAGCTGGGCCAAAACTGACAAAATGAATTTCAACAAGGGCAAATGTAAGGTACTACACTTAGGTAGGAAAAAAATGAAATGCAAAGATACATGATGAGTGATGCCTTGTTCAACAACAGTCCATGTGAGAAAGATCTTGAAGTTTTCATGGACAACAAGTTGAACAGGAGCCAAGAGTGTGATGCAGCTGCTAAAAAAGCCAATGGGATTTTGGGCTGCATCAAAGGGAGTATAGTGTCTAGATTGAGGGAAGTCATGATGCCTTTGTATTCTGCTTTGGTTAGACCTCACCTGAAATACTGCATCCAGTTCTGGGCACCATAGTTCAAAAGAGATATTGACAAGCTGGTGAAAACTCCATCCTTGGAAACTTTTAAACAGTGGGTGGATGACTATCCATCAGGGGTACTTTGATCATGATTTTCCTCCGTGGCAGGATGTTGGACTAGATGGGCCATGTGGTCTCTTCCAACTCTGTTATTCTATGATTCTGTGATTCTCTAGCAAAAGTGTCTTGAAACAAGGTAACTTTGAATCCAAGGTAAAAATAAATCATTGTGATATTAACTTTCTTCTTATTTGGATCTGATGAAGTAGATTTTTTTCCATGAAAGCTTTTTCCATACCAAACTCGTGTGTCTGTGAAATCAGTATGAGAACTTTGTGGCTGATCTTTAAATGTGTTTGGTGATACTGTTTTCGTTATATAAATGCATGTTCTATCATCATCTAGCCTCCTACAGAAATGTGACTTTCCTACCATGAAATTCTCCCTCTACTTCCTGGCATATGAAGATAAAAATGATATTCCAAAAGATGCAAAAGAGAAAACTGCCTGGACATTTTCCAGAAAGGCCACAATAGAACTGACACAGTGAGTGTGAAAACTATATTTAGACTCTATTTCTTTTGTTGTGTTCTCTGCTTTGATTCGTCTGTGGATCATGTAAAATTAAAGCAATATGAACCGAATTTATTGTGAGCAAAGTGCCTTTCTGATACACTTAACAAATTTTCAGTAAAACAACTTGGATTGCAACTAACTGTTTTCACAACAAATTTACTTATACCAGATCTGACTATGAATTCATCCAAACCAGTTCACAAAAGTTACTTTTCTCCCCTAGAATTACCTAGCTAGCATGGCCAGCATTTGATATGGATGTGAAAGCCTAGAAGTTGCCTCCAAGTTCTTGGTATTGTTATTGATAGCATTAACTCCTCAAAATCTTGAACAGAGATCTTTCCTATTGCCTAACCCTATTCTTTTAATTGGAGATGTCGGGATTGAACTTCAGAGCTTCTGTATGCAAAGCATATGCTTTTTGGAACAGAAGTTGTAACTCCCAACAAGATGTGAGCCCCTTTGCTCCTGATTCTTTTTAATTAAATGATGGTTCCACATTAGGTAGAAAGTATATTTATACAGAACATGGGTTTATATAAATTGAATCCCAGCTAAATGTTTTTTAACTGTCTTTTATTATACATCAGTTAGAAATACAAACCAGAATGAAATGTATCAGATTAGTACCTGAAATGTAAAAGTGCCACCAAAGGAATGGAAATAGTCTCCAAGCAAACATTAAATGAAAGGCAAAGAATTACCAAATTGCCTCACAGATAGAAGGAATATTCATTATTCAATCCAATATTTTGGGGGGAGGAGCATGCTCTTTTGCTGATCGGACTGCTGCAGAACCTCTCCGTGAAAAAGTAAGTTAAATATAACTTACCCAAGGCTGAAAGAGCTGAAAATAGACTTGAAGCATCTCTAAGAGTCTATACAACAAACTGCTTAATTTTCTGCCATATCTGAAATAATTACGGCATTAAAAAGCTATCTCCGAAATTCCAAAACACTTCTTGAGATAAGCAGTCACTGCTGCCTGGAGCTGCCGGGAGTCGCCGTGATAAACTGTGATAAACGGCCATCCGAGCGGACAGGAAATAGAAGCGCAAGCTATAGAGCAGCAAAATATAACTTATTCAAGGTCATAAGTGTTGGAAATAACTTGATCTACAGCTAATGAACCATATAACAAACTGATTTTTCTTTCATGCCAAACCTGCAATATTAGAGACTTTAAAAGAGCTCCAAAGTCCAGAACGCTTCTCGAGACAGCAAACTCTGCTGCCAGGAACGGCTTGAGATAAAGACCATTCTGGTAGTGGGGCAGAGAGAGGAAACAGTTTGCAGGAGGAGAGCATTTCGGAATGGCTTCAGAGGCCCTGAATTCCACTGACTCCAAACTGGATAAATTGATGGAAATGGTTCAGGGGCTACAAAACTCAATGGGACAACTTGCCCTTGAGGTCAGAGATACTAAAGAGCAGGTACAGCTCTTGCTTCAGAAGCAGAAAGGGTCTGAAGTGAAAATTGAAGCCTTAGAACAAAATGTACAGGTTCTCAATCAAAAAATAACAGATTTGGAAAATTGTCAGAGACGCCGAAATCTTATTCTCACAAGCATACCAGAGTATATAAGCGATAAAGATCTGATCAAATCCTTGACCCAATGGTGGGAAGAACTTGGAATACCAGCTTCGCCTGATGACATTGAACGTGCACACAGAATACCGTCATATGTAAAGGAAGATAAAAACCAGCATAAACAAAGACCAAGGCCAGTGATAATTGCCTTTGCCAGAGAATCTACTTGTTTAAAAGTCTACAAATCCCTGAGGAAAGTACAGGATTTAAAGTATAATGGAAACAAGGTGATAGTCTTTCAGGACTTGGCAAAATCTACTAGAGATGAAAGAGCTTCCCTCAAGGTCGTAACAGACAGACTCAGAACAGAGAAGATTATGTACACCTGGGCCTTTCCAGCAACTATTGTTATCTACAAAGGAGGAAAAAAACTCACTGCGAGAACTCCACAAGAGGGAATCAAGCTTCTTAGGGACCTGAACTTAACTTGTCCTTTACCCGAGAGACACTCTGCTGAAACAGAATCAGATGGGGAAATTGATCCAACAACTGAGGGAGAGGAAGAAGGAACTGGCTCACACTCACATTTAAAAACAAGAAAGGCCTCAAAGAAAAAAACTGGGAAACATCATGCATCCTCAAACAGGTCACGAACAAGAAGGAACAACAAATAGTGTGGCAGGAGTGATTGTACAGGAAGACTGAAGAAGCGCAGAAAGTATATAATAAATCACTAGTTATAATGTTAGAACCTTCATAACTTTGAAAGACATCTAAGACTGAAGAACATTATAATAGAAAAGTACTGTCTGCATCTAAAAATTGCAAAGGGGTATCTGTGTTAAGGTTTTTATGTTAAGGCACTTTTACAATAATGATCACTATGTAAATTCATAAATTATACTGTTAAGTATTTGAAGGAGCTGGAAAGGGAAAGCTGAAGCGGATTTCAGGAAAAGCAATAGTGGATTTACCTTAAGGGATTAATGTTAAGTGGCTCTCACAATAATGATTACAAAATGAATTCAGAAATTATATTGTTATTTATTGGAAGGAACAGCAGAATCTATATTATATAGAATTAGTGGGTGGTTCATAGGTTAAAGGTCAATGCACGGAAGGGGGGAAGTTGCAGCAGGGGACTCTGCCCTCATGAAACTCTGGCCGATGGCGAGGATATTATTCTCAGCCATTCCTCCCTTACTTCAGGGGTGGGAATCAGAGGTCAGATGGGGGAGGGGGGTAAGGGCGGGTAGGGCTATAGGGAAGGGAACAAAAGGAACAGTTAAAAACAGAATAGCAACACGGACTTATAAAATTTTGTGGAAAGTGGCAAAAGAACAAACCAATCATGATGGATGATGGTATCAATATTATGTCGGTAAACACGAACGGGCTTTCGACACCGGTTAAGAGGCACAAATTATCCAAATTGTTAAAGGAAAAACAAGTACATATTGCATTAATTCAAGAATCACACAAAAAAATGGGGGACAAAACCAAATTGCTCAACGATAAAAATTGGGATATACAGTATGAATCGAGGGGCTCAAACAAAGCCAGAGGAGTTGCCATACTAATAAAGGATAATCTAAACTTTGTGCTGGAAAAGGTCATTAAAGATACTGAAGGTAGATTCATAATGATAATAGGTAAAATTAACAATACTCAGGTATCAATAGCAAGTGTCTATGCCCCAAATCAGAAACAAATAAAATTTATAAACAAAACTTGCTCAAAAATAGAAAAGCATGCAATAGGAGATATAATAGTCGGTGGGGACCTAAATTTACAATTGTACAAAAAAACGAAGAGTAATAGAACTGGAAATTCAGGTACAAATTGTAAGATAAATTTCAGTAAGTGGAACTTAATAGAGGCCAACAATAGAATAGGGGAAAGAGCAGATACCCCAACACACTACTCACATAGGCACTCAACATTTTCTACCATAGACTATTTCCTGGTGGGAATCAACAACACAATGCCAATAAAAGAACTTTTGGTGGGCAATTATTGGCCAGGAGACCATGCACCTCTCTACTTAAAATTAGGAAATTATACCATAAACAAAGTGAAAAAATGGAGATTTAACCCAAAAGTTGCTTATAAAGAGTCAGACAGGAAAGAGATAAATGAACAAATTATTCAGTATTTTAACTTAAACAGAACCCCTGGAATGAAAGAAAACATAGTTTGGGATGCTTTCAAGGCAGTAATTAGAGGAAAGTGTATAACAATCGAGAAGGGAATAAATAAAAGAGAAAATGAAAGATTAAGGAAATTGAGGTCTGAAGTAGAAGAAGCGTTCCAATCATTTCAAAAAGACCAAACAGTGGGGGGGAAAAAGAGATGGATAGAGTTAAATAAACAACTAGAAAACCTGGAGGAAATTGAAAGTACAAAGAAATATATCTGGGTCAAGAACGACTTTCAGACAAACTCCATAAATAACACAAAGAAATTAGCAAATTTCCTAAAAAAGAAACAAGGGAAAACAAAAATCTTTAATTTGAAAGACGAGATGGGCCAAATAAAAACAAGCGAGGAGGACCTAAAGGAAATAATGGCCAATTACTACGAAAAGCTTTACACGAGTAAGGATACAGTGAAATCGGAAGGACTACTCCAAAAAAAATTAGACCCTCTATCCCAAGCAACACTGGACAGGAACATCACTAGCAATGAAATAGAGGAGGTAATAAAGAAATTAAAAATAAACTCTTCACCAGGCCCCGATGGGCTCACTACAAATTTCTATAAAATTTTTCAAAAGGAAGTCACCCCTAATTTACTAATACTATATAATGAAATCATGGAAAATAAACTAATTCCAGAAACATGGAAAAAATCCGAAATTATAACAATTTTAAAACCAAACAAAGAGGGGACTGACCCCAACTCATATAGGCCTATTACTTTATGCAACGTGGACTATAAAATTTTCACAAAAATAATAGCTAATAGGCTGAAAGAGGTAATACCCACTCTAATTGAGGAAGATCAATACGGCTTTATTATAAAAAGAAAGATAGCGGACCCAATTAGAAATATCATAAATATAATTGACCATGCAACTAGAGAGAAAACAAAATTACTTCTAATAAAATTAGATGTTTACAAAGCATTCGATACAATAAATCATAATTATTTGGCTAACTTATGCGAGGAGAGTAACTTAGGAAAAAAGATATGTGGAGTAATTAAGGAACTGTATAAAGATAATCTAGCTGAAGTGATAGTAAACGGATCCAATTCTAGAACTATTGAAATCAAAAGCGGAACCAAACAAGGTTGCCCTCTTTCCCCCCTTCTCTTTGCCCTAGCAATAGAACCTTTTGCTAATCTAATCAGATCAAACAAAAACATAAAAGGATATAAGATAGATAGAGAAGAAATAAAAATAAATTTGTATGCAGACGACGCAGTAGTCCTCATAGGTTCAATGGAGAATTCGGTAATTGAAGTAACGAAAGAAATTAAAAAATTTGAAAAGATCTCAGGCTTAACAATTAATATTGAAAAATCAGAAATCCTACCTAAAAACATGAACTGGAAGGAGGTGAAAGAAGTCCAATCTATTCTAGGGGTCAAACTGGGGGAAAAGAAGTTAAAATACTTAGGAGTGTATATACCTAAAAATCTAAATAACATAATTCAGATAAATTATAACCAACTATGGAAGAAAATAAGCAAACAGATTAACAATTGGAAAAAATGGAATTGGGATATAACAACAAGGGTGAAGACATATAAAATGATGATACTGCCCAAACTTTTGTACTTATTTCAATGCCTTCCATGTAGCATTCCTCCCAAAATAATAAAGAAATGGGATAACTCAATTAAAACATGGGTAGTAGGGTCTAGTAAAACCAGAATTGCAAATTCAATTTTTTATACTCCACAAGAAAATGGAGGTTGGGGAGCACCTTGCCTCCAGAACTATTACGAAGCCTGTCAATTGGCTAGGTTACTTGAATTAGATATCGGTGAGCCCAAAAGATGGGTTAGGTTAGAGAAATTAACAAACGGGTGGGAATATGGATCTTGCATTATGGGGAAAATTGGGGGAAAAGAACTAAAAAACATAAAAGGAGGCCCCTTGTCATTAACAATGACTTGTTGGGGAAAATGGCAAAATAAACTCCCAGTAAATAAAATAGACAAGCTCCCAATAGGTTCCTTAGACAACAGAAAACCCCAGCTATATCGCAACATGCTAAAGAAACTGGAACAAAACGGAATAACAAAGATTGAGGACTTACTAAAACCAGACGGGACTGTAATTCAATGGGAGGAAATAAAAGATAAATGCGGGCATGGAAATTGGTTACAATGGGGAGGGCTGTCTAAAAAGCTAATAGAATTGAAGAATAAGGAAACCTCAGAAACAAATCTCGACAAAATAATAAAATGGAAAGTAGAGAGGGAGAAAGGAATCATGGGATTTATATATAACACAATCACCGAAATACAATACAACACAAAATCTACCCTAATAGAAGTCTGGAAGGAGGAATTAAATTGCAGTGAGAGAGAAATAGACAATTGGATTAATTCAATCAATAAAATAAAACACCTAAAGATTAAAGAAATGCAACGAAAAATATTGACAAAATGGTACAGAACTCCTGTGCAACTGGCGCATATCACAAAAACGTGCCCAAAATTATGTTGGCACAACTGTGGTAAAATAGGAACATATGCCCACATGTGGTGGGAATGTGAAAAAATCCAAAAGTTCCAAGAAATAATCAGGAAAGAAATGGAGGAGCTATTAGGGATCAAGATAGAATGGAATAAGGCCCAATTTTTCACTCAGAAATTCGAAAATAAAGAGGAATATAAGGAAAGTGAGGAAATAATAAAACATATGATAGAGGGAATTAAAGCCTCAGTGGCCCTGGGCTGGAAAGACCACAAGAAATGGGATACAAAAACCTGGTACAAATATTTAGCAGATTACCTTCTTCAAGATTATATTAGCGAAAGGAAAAGTTACTATATGACGGGTCAAAGCAAAAAGACATGGAAAGCAAAATGGAAGGGTCTCATATATAGAATAAAGGGGAAAGATAAATATACGGTGTTGAACAAAACTATTCTCATGATTGAACAATTGTAATAAACACAGCTAAAGTATTTATTTGTTCCCGGGGGGGGGGGAGGGGGTGCTGGTGGCGGGATTGGGGAAAAAACTGGTATTTTGAATGTTATTTTCAAAGATGGTATGTTTCTATGTATTATACAATAATAATAATAAAATTAAAAAAAAACATAAACTATGTATTTTAATCATATGCCTGTCATGTAACACTAAGCTGCTCATTTGTTGACATATGTTTCAAATCATAACAGTGTCTTTCAGCACTTGGCAGTATGGTGCCATATGTTATTACTGTACTATAAAAATCAAACATACCCAGAATGTGTCTGCTAAAACTTTGGTTGATGCTAAAAAATTAAAAAAAAATAGTACTATAATGGAACATAAAATGCTCAAATTCCTGCAGACATATTGCTGGAACCTAGTATCCAAAGTTGATGCTTCACCTGCCCCCCAGCTTTCCCACATTCCCAGTGGTAATGCTGCTAAAATATCTGCTAAGGAGGACAGGGAAGGAAAGGGTACTAGATGGACATAAAAATGTGTAAAAAGGAGCTTTTGTAAGAGACATTATTAATTGTGTTCATTTTCTGTAACTTTTTCAGACTATTATTATTATTATTATTATTATTATTATTATTATTATTATTATCTTTGTGTCCCCTGGGCAATGTCCTTGCAGAGGGCCAATTCTGTCACACCAGAAGCAACTTGCAGTTTCTCAGGTCACTCCTGACACACAAAAATGCAATCCAAGTTCTGCAGAAATATTAAGCTGCAATCTTTAAAATAACTGCCCTTTGAAAAATATGATTTCCTTCAAGCAAAGGGGTGCAGTTGGGGAAAAGGAAAGGCAGTAAACATCTAGAGTGGCTTGCAGGTGTTTCCTTCTCCTTTACCCTTATACACCCCCAATCCTATCCCCATAGCACCCCCGCTCCCATTTCCATACTGGTTTCGTTTTCCCTTATCCATCCACATGGCTGGCTTTATCAGCTGGACCCCTTTCCTTTCCCTCAGTAGCTTGGGCTCAGCTTTGACAGTGACAGCAGCCGCAGCCCTGCTTTACCCTGCAAGGGAGGAGGAGGGAGGGAGCCTTTTGCGACCCCAATCACCCACTTACAGGACCCCATTTTTGGGGTTCACCCACAGTTTTAAAAGTTTTGCAATAGAGAAGAAAATCACAGCAGCCAAACAAGAGGTTGTCACTCTTCAGTAGCAAAGCCAGAGATCAGGGATGACTCTCTAGCTGTTTTTAGCTCCCAAGTCTCCTCAGATCAGCCAGTATTGGTGAGGGATGATGGTGGTTGCAGACAAACAACATCTGGAGAGCCATAAGTCTCCAGCTCCCACCACAGAAGTCCATAAGGTGAAAGCTTTTCAGTTGAGGATTTTCGTGGTACCAAAGGACTTTTGGCCTGTCAAGCATACTCTCACTTGCTGACTGTACAATTGTGTCAGTTCTGATTTATCTGTTAGGAATCTGTTTTTATGTTTCTCACTAGCAATACAAGGTCTTAAAAATAAAAGGCCTGCTCCTAAGAACTGAAGATCATACATCTCTTGTTACACTCTCTGCTTTGTAACCCTGTTTGCCCAAATAGTATTGATAAAATCTAGGAGCGAGAATCTCTGCTAATAATTCAGCCCAACAACCTGCATACACAGTACAGTTTACTTGCATTCAAATGTTTTGTAGTACAACAGCAATGTTCATGCTTTCTTAAAGCATTAAAAATCCTAACTTGTAGCCCCTCTTTGAGGCAGATCTCAAGTAATCTCAACATAAAAAGAGAAGAAATTCGATAGTCTTGTTAGGACTATACCTTCAAGGTCCAAACATTTTATTGGTTGGTTTCTGATTAAGTAAATATTCTGTTTGTGCTTTCTTCTAAAACTTTATTTGTCTTCTGTTTTTCCACTCCTGTAAACAAAACTTTTTTGTTTTAATATTAAACCTCTTATGATTTATCTTGCTCCAATCCATCCTGTTTTTCTTTCAGCAACTGGGGCACTGAAAATGATGAGAATCAGGCTTACCACAATGGCAATTCGGATCCTCGAGGATTTGGTATGTTATGAATGTAGTGCAGAATTAACAACAACAAAATCTTAAACCAAACCAAAAACCAGAGAATACCATTCAGATTTGTGTGTTCATAAATGTTAAATTTCGTAAAAAATGGTTGCAAATGCACAAAGCAGTGTTTGATAAAGAATTTTATTTCTTAATTCACATTCTAACTTCCGTTCTTGAGAAAAGTGAGAAGACACTACACAGCAAGTGACTTTTTCCTGGCTATAAACGAAGTAAGATGTTGAGTGTGTATATATATAGCTTTAACTTTTGCTGTGATTTACACCCAGATATAAATATTTGCACATTTGAATCTTTGTAAAAAAAAATGAGTCATATTCCTTTTGTGAATTAGTTGTTCTCCTTGTGCTCTGTACATCTGTCTCTATTTGGATTTATATCCATGTAAATGATTTTTTAAATTGAAAACACGCACTTTTAATGATATTTTCTCTGTCAGTGTAACACACTTGTGTTGTCAGAATTATCTATGAATATATCAAATCCTACAAGTTTTGAATGGTGATTATGAAGATTACCAAATTGGTAGGGGTTTTTCCGTGGTGTGCTGAGAAGGGAAAAAGGTATTGTGGGACTACATGCAGTCTATTGGCATCATTTGCACTTTGCCCACCCTGCCTTAAATGTGCCATGCAAATGCATAGTAGTGGGCACTTGGTATCTGCTGGGATTTGGTTCCAGAACTCTGTGGATACCAAAATCTGTGAAAGCTCAAGACCCATTACATGGAATAGCATAGTAAAATAGTGTCCTATATATAAAATGGCAAAATCAATCTTTGCTTTTGGGATTTTTTAAAATAACATTTTTAAGGCATGGGATGCAGAATTTTCAGATATGGTATACTTATTACTGTGCCCTTCCTTGGCAAGAACAGTAACTATCATTCGAAAGTGTTACTTCAAGGGTGTGCAAAAATGTTTCATAGTTTATATTATGAAACACTGAGTACACTGTATCACAAGAATAGTTCATTTATAACAATGTTCTTTGGGTGGAAAGCCTTCATTTGTGTAAGAACTGAATGTACTATTCCACTGATTTTTTTACTACCTTTCAGGTCACATTGGAATTGCTGTTCCTGATGTAAATGCCGCTTGTAAAAGATTTGAAGAGCTGGGAGTGAAATTTGTAAAAAAGCCAGATGATGGTAAGTTTTTGTTATAAACCACACCTTCTCAAACTGCAAAGCTGAAGATATTAGACTGGCTTCGCGTTTCCACTGTTCAACATCTCGCTGGGTACACTGCAATGAATGACTAGGACCACAAGCTTATAATTAAAATAATAAATTATCCTGTGGCAGAGGAAGATTCAAAGTTGTAACTAAATTGAATTCAATAATTTGTGGACATGTAAGAATCCATACTGAAGCAATAGATTTTTAAAAAGAAAGGAAGAAATTACATAGAAATACGAATGAAAAAAATCTATGAATATAACATTAATATTTTTTTAAAACTCTCAAGAAGCGATATATAGAAATGACAACACTGCACTATCAATTACTAAAAGAAACTTAGGAGTACCACTGACAGATTCACTAGTAGAAGAAATATGAACATGAATTCTAAAGGTGCATCTTTTTGTTTAGGCCAGTGGTTCGCATCATATGGGTCCCCAGGTGTTTTCACCTACAACTCCCAGCCAGTTTGTTAGGATTTCTGGGAGTTGAAAGCCAAAACACCTTGGGACCCACAGGTGGAGAATCACTGGCTTAGGCCTTTGTTGTGGAATTTTTTCTTCACTTATCTAAAAGCCAGTTTCTTATTATCATTCTGGAATGGACTTATTATCTCCAGCCTATACAAAGCCTGTACAAAGAAAGATTGTAGTAAAGAAAAGGTTTAAGGCCAAAGAAGGAATAAGACATATCACGCCAAAGAAGTAGTACTGGTTGACTCTCCCTTACTTGTTTTTCAGATTTTGAATTTTTAATACCTGCATTTGCATATAAATAGTGAATAAAGGATAAGGGTGAAAGGGGGGCAGCTAACCATCCAGCATCTGCTGTGTTTTCTCAAGGAGCTCTTGCTCCACCACTCTCAGAAATTTGATGTGGGAAAGAAACTTTTCAAAAAGTGCTTGTAAAAAGCAAATGTTGGGGGAGAAAAAAGTTTCAATGCATCTAGCTACCATAGAGTTGGGGAATGTTGGAATGATCTGACTGCCAGACTAATCCATACCATGCTGGGGACGAGGAGCAGGGCCTTATCGGTGGTGGCCCCTCACTTGTGGAATTCACTCCCCGGGGAAATTAGGTCATCAACATTCCTCATCTCTTTTAGAAGGAAATTAAAAACATGGATTTGGGACCAGGCTTTTGGGTAATCTGGCAGATAGACAAAGGACAAGCGACGACTAGAATTGATGGATTTGACAACGTGGAATTGAATTTACGGACTCTGAGCTGGCAAACGTTGAGCACTAGATTGGTTTTATGGATTATGATGTATAATGGATTGTTTTAATTGTTTAATTACTGTTTATATATGTTTTATTTGTATCTTATTGTTGTGCTGGCATCGAATTGTGCCTTTTGTAAGCCGCCCTGAGTCCCCCCCTCGGGGGTTGAGAAGGGCGGGGTAGAAGTGCGAGAAATAATAATAATAATAATAATAATAATAATAATAATAATAATGGTGCCCTTCTGCCTGGCCAATTGGAAATGTGAATGGGTGATTGAGATGTGGATTGGCTGGACAGTAATTGGATATACATTTGAATTTGGCCTTCCTCAACACTTGCTTTTTACAGGGGCTTTGTGTAAGTCAAATTTTTGATGGCTCCTTAAGAAAAACTCAGCAAGCTCTGAATGTGTGTTTAGCTCCCTATCCTCACAAGTGAAAGTAGCAGCAGCAGCAGCAAAAATCTGGGGTTTGGATTCTAGAAAAGGGAGACGCATCCTGTATTCAATGAAGTGAATGTCTGCCATCAGATTTCCCTTAAACGCCATTAGTATATTGATCAAGGATACTCAATATAATATCTTCTGCTTATCACTAAAGCAGAAGACAAAAGCTAGATTTCCCTCACCTGATTAAGAAGCTGTGTGTGAATGTATAGCTGATATTTTTCATACTCTGTGTTGTCAAAAGAAGGATTGCAGAACAATCAGAGGGGAGAGAGGCATAATTGACAACTGCTTTGGTTCCCTATACTTCAGGCCCGTAGTCAGGATTTTGTTTCATGGGGGGCTGAGTTTGGTTCGGGGGGGGGGCTGACTCTGAGTGAAAGAGGGCTACCCTAGCAAACCTTTTGTATCGTTACCCCAATACCCCCATGCATATGGGATATATTGAGCATGGTGATCAGATCATGATATGAATAAACATAACAGTTTAAATAATGTACCAGTAAGGCCTTCTCGCGGACCACCATGAGAATGGGGGGGGGGTGAAGCCCCCAAGCCCCCCCCCCCCCCCGGCTACATGCCTGCTACACTTAATTCATTGGTGGGGTCCTTATTATTTAGGCCAGTGGAGGCAATGCATTTATCACCACTTTATTTTATTTGACTGGGAATAAATTTGAAGCTTACATGTTACTGCCTGAACTGCTTAAAAACAGAATTGCCTTGTGTCCACTATATTTTAATTCTCTGTATATTTTAAAATATGTATTTTATAGAAATATGTTTTAATATGTGTACTTTATATAATGAGTATGTGTTTTTAGCTTTGTTGTAACCTGCCTTGAGCCACAAGGAACTGTGGGTAAGAAATTATCATCATCATCATTATTATTATTATTATTATTATTATTATTATTATTATTATTATTAGTACTCCTAGAATGCCAGCTTTAAATGTACATTTATAATTCCTTGCCACTTTTTGGAAGAGACACAATTATTAAACTCTGTGTAACTAGAAATGCAGGTTGGGGATGGTGTATAAAATTAATAATATTCATCTTTTACAGGTAAAATGAAAGGACTGGCTTTTATTCAGGATCCTGATGGTTACTGGATTGAAATTCTGAATCCTAATCATATGGTGACCCTCATTTAGATTTGAATTATTATGCCATTATATTCCATGAAGAAACTGAAGATGGTTATCAGCCTCCTCCTTGAGATTTTGAATACTGGATTAAGAAAAGAACATTTATATAATTATTTAAAAGCCCGTGGAGCACATCCAAATAGTCCCACAATTTGCTTTCCCCTGCTCAGGCAGCAAAGTGTTTTGTACCAGCTCAGCCAACTGGTCTCCAAATAGGCTAGCTTCTAAGGACAAAGAACGAGTAAGCTCTCTTTTTCTCCAGTGTTCTTTTAGTTTATGAGGAACTGGTTTGCCATTTTGCCTACATGTAGCAAACCTGGGCTTGCTACAGGCTATACATAGAGGTTTCTATTTTTTTTCTCTTCATGCATGAAGGAAGGAGAGCAAGACCTATTAGAACTTGGGACTTATTGCTCCTTGGTCTCATAAAGAAGTCAAATATGTGACTTATAGTAACTATAATTAAAATCTTATACCTATAGTTTAAGATTCTAAATATAGAGAAAGCAAACCATGGTTAACAGAGTCTTGACTTCTTTCTGTCTTTCATCAGCATAGATTTTCACAAATGCATTATGTGGCACAGCAGCCTTTTAAGATAAACCAACGGCCATCAACTCTTATGTATCAATTTGTTTTTTTAATTCAAATGAGATAACAAATCATAATTAGTCCAAACTCCAACAGAACTTGAATAGATCCACACACAGAAATGCAAAGAAATACTTCGGCATGGTGTGTCAAAAGCCAATATTGTCTAGCATTTTGATTGGTTAGGTTATTTTTTTGTAGACATCATTATTGTAATATCCTTCTCAGATATGTCTGATTTCACAATACTGTGCAGCTGTAATCTCATCCCAATCCTAAATAAAATATTTGAAAATTTTAGCTACATTTTCTTTAATTGAATATGCCTGCAAAAATAGATTTAACTTTGTAACTGGTGATGAGCTTTGGAGCTGTAAATATTAAATGCTTGTGAACTGAAAGAAAAAAGTCTTGCTCTTTTTTCTTCTAATGCATGGGCAAGGCAAAGTGCAGCTCCCAAGACTGTTTCTGTGGCCCACAAAAACTTTCCAGACTCCATTCTTCTGTGCTCCCACTCCCCAAGAAGAGTAAGCTTCCTCTCCTGGAAGCCTCCAGGAGCACTAATTCACCTTATACTACGAATCATAGGAATGAAATCATGGGTTCTTAGAGTTGGAAGGGACCACAAGTGCCATCTAGTCTGAGCCTCTTCTGCTGTGAAGGAATACACAAGAAAAGTATTCCTTAGATATACCCACCCTGCTTCTGTTTAAACATCTCTGGAAAAGGAGAGCCTGCCACCCTTTGAGTCACTCTACTCCACTGCTAAGCACCTCTTAACAATGAACCATTTCTTCCTAATGTTTAAACAGAATCTCTTTTCTTCTAAGGTATCACCCAGTTGCCCAAGCATTTGTTCTGGAAATGGTGCTTTTTAGCTAGTTCATATATTATAAATTAAAATAATTTTAAATAAATAAATTGGAATTGAAAATGAGCAGTGAAAATGCCAGGTTATTTATGGTATTCGACTTAACCATTGGTTCTCAACCTGTGAGTCCCCAGGTGTTTTGGCCTACAACTCCCAGAAATCCCAGCCAGTTTACCAGCTGTTTCTGGGAGGTGAAGGCCAAAACATCTGGGGACCCACAGGTTGAAAACCACTGGAGTAAACACAGGATTGTGAAGAACACTTAAGAAATTCTATTCTAATTGGGATAAATAGGTGGCATGAGCCCCTTGCACTGTTTCACATTTAAAGTACCTGTTTTTTCCAAGCCACTAGTAGACTTCTAGTCAACGTCAAGGCTTGTAGAGAGGGGTTGGCGTTTTTTGTTGGTAAACCTGAATCCTGCTTGATGCCAGAAGCTAAAAAGCCTGGTGTTTTGGTTCTTTTAAATTGCCTAACTCTGATAAAATGGCAAATTTTCATGGAAATGTATCGAGCCTTTATGCTTACTGATAAGCTCAAATTATTTTATCACGCAACAAAAAAAATGCATGCAGTTCATGAAAATAAAAAGCTTACAAGGGACTTCATTGTATCTACTCAGAAGTTAATAATGGGCATTGGTGATTTGCAATTGTGCATAGCATTTTAACCTTCACCTGCATCAATACTGAGCCCACTAGCTAATGTTCTTGGAAGAAAAACACTGTTGTTAGAACTGGACAGGGTCCTAGGGCTGACTAGTCCAATCCCCACCAAGCTTTCAAATATATGGCAGTTAAAGGAGGCAGGGACTGGCACATTCCCCATGTGTTTCTAATTAATATTAGTGGTAACAAACTGCTCAAAATGGAATAGGATACCATCTCTCTGCATTTTAGGCAGATAACTGAAGTCCTGAGTTTAAGCCAGATGTGGTGGAAGTTCCCTCCTTAGAGGCTTTTAAACAGAGGCTGGATGGTTATCAATCAGGGGTAATTTGATTGTGCTTTTCCTGCATGGCAGGGGATTGGACTAGTTGGCCTATGTGGTCTCTTCCAACTCTATTATTCCAATGTTGTCAGTTAAATTTATGTCCCACCTTTCCACCAATATCCTTGATTTGAGGTATGTTACTAAGTTCAGACAAAGTTGGGTCGTGCTCACCATTCATCTCCTTGGGTGACATTGGAAAGGGCACCAGATTGAGTGGGTGAGTAAAGTCTTGCCCCCTCCTTTCTCTCCTTCTCCAATTGCCTCATCTCTCCAGCAGGCATCACTCCTGGTGAATAGTGACTATCATGACCCATATCAACCTTGCTGGCCACCCGCACAAGGAGAATGGGATGGTGAATGTCACTCTCTGTCGGGCCACCCGTTAAACAGTTGTGTCCAGCTCCATCTCAGAACCTGGGCCAAAAGTTGCAATTTGCTCTGGATTTGGAGAAAGAATTTGGAGCAACTTGCAACTTTAGTTAACACATTTTCACACTCAGCTCCATGCATCGTTTAGCCACTGGCTTTTCACGCATAGTGACCCATGCAAATGTGCCCTTAGTTGATATGCCATGACTTTTTCTAAAGTGTGTGTGTTTTGGTATAAAGTGTTGCATATTGACTTCGCTGAAATATACTTATTCTGAATTGTAGACATCTAAAACACTGATTCATCACTTTTTGTTGTGTTATATTGTTTACCTATGATCTATCATTAATTTTAAAGTAACAGTTGAGTTGTCCTGGATGTGTCTGTGTATTCCTGAGGTTTGCAGATCTGACAAATGAGTCAGTATTAAGATCTGTGTTTCTATAGGCACATTTAGACTATGCAACACACACTTGGCCAAATAGTCCTGCTTTAGATCTTCTTTATGGAATCAAATAAACTTATTTTCAAGTTTAAGGTGTTGTGTGATATTCTTTTGCACTTAAAATGCCAGCTTTTGTATTTTCTCATGCTACATTTCACAGGAAAGAAGCAATTGCAGTGTAGGCTGAATTCAATTAGGCCACCTCACACATAGAAAGCTATTGCAAGCTATTAGCCCATTATTGCATATTCTGATCAGCAGTAGCTCTTCAGAACAAATATCTTCCCCATTACTTGATTCTTTTATGATATGAGTTGTTACAATAAAAGGCTGGATTCAAAAAAAGTGAAAAACAAACAACCCTGATTACTTAACACAATTTGTGTTTGAATAATAATAATAATAATAATAATAATAATAATAATAATAATAATAATAGCAGCAGCAACAATCTTGTTTGCTGTGGACTCATCTTGTTGTGTTTCAAATAATAATAACAACAACTACTATTACACATGGCACAAGATGCCCAAAAAACAACATAAAATGAAAACAATTTGAAAATACAATTAAATAAAACATACAGGCATATAAAACAACAACTAAAACTCAATTAAAAACAACACTAATCAACCAATGGCAATAAGCTACTATAAACATGGTCAGGCTGTAAACAAGTGAACTGAGAATGGGATAAGTGCAAAGCTGTAACTATGGGAAGAGGGTTTGAACTCACTGATTTTTTTTTTACATTTTAATAAATATTTTTCCAAACTTGGAACTTGGATAGCTCCAAGAAGATAGACAAAGCTATATTATTATTGTATTATTACACAGCAGTAAAATAAATCACAGTTGTAAAACATAATTTGAAAATACATTTTTTAAAATAAATGTATTTTAATTGTGGACACAGGTAGAGTAATACAAATTTCAATGATGAAATTTTACTTATATTTTTTCTCAATATAATATATCTTATATTTACATTAACCTTACCAATTCTAATTCCAAACTTATCCATCTCTCGTGTCTATCAGGTTTTCTCTCCCCCCCCCCCCCTTCACCTTCACCCACTGGGAACAGTTGTAACTTCAATTTGAGTATTATTTGAAATGATCAGTCATGAAGAGAGTATGATTTAGTTCTTTATATTTTCTTTTTCCTTTTACTCTAGCTATTCGAGTTCCCCCTTTCAAATCCTAAATATTTTTACAACTGCCTGTTGTGTATTTTCTTTTCAAAAATATAATCCTGGAGCATACAGTTGGCTAAATGTTCAAACCATTTTTTATTCCCATTTTTCCTGCTTTCTCTTTCCAGCCCAAGGCTGCTGGTGCTTGGGCCACTTCTATCATAAGTTTTATGATATCTGCCCATTTATTTGTGCTGCTCTTGCCCTCAATTTTCTGAATTTAAAAATCCCTTTTATTCAGCTCTACCTTTTGCTCTAATAATTCTTCCATCTCTTTCTTTATTTTATTATAGTATATTATCACAGTCCCACCACAAATGCATAAAAGAGCCAGTTTTGCCTCATTTTTGCCAGCATAGTATTGATGATGGTTTAGAGATCTTGACTAATTTTAAGTGGGGTTCTGTACCATTTGGTCAATATTTTCCATTGTGTTTCTCTGGTCCTAATATGCTTAATTTTTTATTGAAGGTCAGTGTCCGACTCATTATAGTTTGTCTTTCCATATCTCAACTAGTGTTTGCTTCAGTTTATGGAGATGAAAAGCAGCGTTTTCTAGGTATCAGTGACCTCTGAAGCACTTGTGCAAAATGGATATTAGATGCAGTTAATGCTTGAAGCAATACAGCTAAACATATTTTTACATATGTCCTCCTTGGTAATGAGTGGAGCAATCATATAAATGATCCCAATAATATACTATCAATATAACGTCCTGAAGACTCAAAAGTAATAATACAAACAACAACAACAAAATTATTTTTGTATCCTGCCACCATCTCCCCAAAGGGACTCAGGGCAGCTTATTTGGGGACAAGCCCAGTCATCTTTCTGTATTTCTCTTGCTTTTCTAATTCTTTTAAGAAATACAGTAACCTTGTTTCTTATTAAAAGTCTTTATTTATTTATTTATTTATTTACAACATTTCTACCCCACCTTTCTTGACCCCGGAGGGGACTCAAGACAGCTTTACACATAGGTAAGTATTCAATGCCATTAAAAACAATATACAATTAAAATGAGCATTTAAAATAGAATTATAAAATACATCAAAACATTTAAAAATATTTAAACTAATATCACCATTGTTAAACCATGCTATCCATAATCATAATCTGGGCCGTTCCAATAGTCCTTGCACATAATTCCATATCTGTCTATTGCACAAGTTCTCCAAAGGCTTGATCAAAGATTTTGCTCTGTTATGGAAGGTCAGGAGGGAGAGGGCTGATCTAATATCCCTGGAAAGCGAAGTCATGCTGCCTACTGTACAAAAATTGGCTTTTAAATGTACACTTTATTTTCCTACTGCACAAAATGTGCTACAGATTAGAAAAATAACCCACAGTGGCCCTTGTTAAAATGAGCACTTTTCTCAAAACACTTGAAGCTTGAAAGTAAGCAGGGAGATATTTCCCAGCCAGTGTCATAGGCATTTCTATATGCCCACAACACCTCTCCCAGTCTATGCCACCATATAATGCAGTTTCAGGTCTGCATTGAACCGAATTATATGAGTCTACACTCATATAATTTAGAGCAATGCACTCTGAAACTTCATTATATGACTGTAGATGGGGCTTAGTTCTTAGATGTAGTGGACTGTACAAAACTATATTCCACTAGAACCTGTTCTCCCCTTATCCCCTTTAGCTTCATACATTCTAGCAAATATCTGAACAAGGCTTTGGTATAAGCAAGGCATGAGATTCCTATAAAGTCTAAAGGCTATAGTAAAAAAAACAGATAAACAAGTATAAGTGACTTCTTAAGTTTTATGAGGATGGTGACACTTAATTGAGGATTTTATCAAACAACCTCTGAGCAGAAGACACAGCTCAGTCAATATTTGTCCATTGGGCGTACAATAAAGCCAAGGGGTATACTACAAGAGGACCATGAAAGCTTATATCTTATGATGACTGTGCTGGAGGACCATCCAAAGACAGTCAACTCCATAAACAATGTATTTCCCTTCTGAGCTAGCTCATGTTCAGCAATAGAGGTCATCTACCAGCTTTTAGTAACTGTTTCCTTCCACAACCCTGAAACATTAACAAAATGTAAGTGGGACTCTATGTGTGGTTAACACTCCTACACCAACGTGTTGCCTAAGCAAAAATACACTGTTCAGAAAAAGCAACAACTGCCCCATGGAATCTACTCCCACAAATCAGAGCATTACAATGAGAACCTTTATATAATAATGCACTGCTATCTCCACGTCCAAGACCACATCCACAAACCCCACATTGGATGTCCATGGACCTGACTGAACAGAAGATCATCATTGTCATGAACACCCCGAATCTACTTGTCAAAGCAGAGTTACGGAAGCAAATCTCTCAATGCAGTATTTATTTGAAGGAAAGCCCAATGGCCATTTGAAATTCAGCCTTTGATTGGCAGTTAACAGTAATCTACAGAAGCAATGTTCTTATTAGCATCTTTAATAGAGTATAACTTTTCATCTTTAATGTATAATTGAAAAGTTTATTGCTTCTAGCTAATGTAATTTTAAAATCTGATGGGCTGTATGCATAAATACATTAAAGATGTATTTTTTGAAAGAGATACAGGATATAAATAGAAAAGAAACTAGTAAGAAAGTTGCATACTTTTGAAAACAACATACAATTAATACCATACACTCTTACTTTGCTTGGTTCTTTTCTCCTATGTATTACAGCTTATCAAACATGGAAATTAGTTGTTTTCTTCCTCCTCTCCTCATCTCACATTCCCCTTTTGGCAACTAGCATTTGGTGTTATCCTAAGAAAACTTTGAATGCTCTGGGAGCAAGGGGAATAATGATTTGGACCACTGCATAACAACATGCCATCTGTTGTTTATAAACAGCAGTATATTTAGACCGAGGAAATAAAATCTGAAAGCAAAATGATATCAGTACAGCAAAACATTCTCTAAACAGTTCTGCAAATTTACTTGAATGCAATTCCTACCCAAATCAAAAATCTTTATTACGGTCATAGTCTCATAAAAGTATTGTACATTAAAAGCTAAAAGGTTAGAAAACAGAGGTATATCAAAGGCTAAAGCACAAAAATCTATATATATAAATCTGTTAGGTTGGTTCAACGGGACAGCAAAACTCCACAACCCCCCAACGAAACTTAACCAAAATTCCCATGCCCATAACACAACCCACAAGGTACAAACATATCTACTCAAAATGAAAAACAACACAACAACACACTCACAAAACGGCAAAACAACAAAACTCAAAAAACCCAAATGAAACTTAACCAAAATTCCCATGCCCATAACACAACCCACAAGGTACAAACATATCTACTCAAAATGAAAAACAACACAACAACACACTCACAAAACGGCAAAAACAAAACTAAAAAAAACCCCAACGAAACTTAACCAAAATTCCCATGCCCATAACACAACCCACAAGGTACAAACATATCTACTCAAAATGAAAAACAACACAACAACACACTCACAAAAGGCAAAACAACTGAGTATGCGCATTGGCGCAACTGAGCATGCGCATTGGCGCACACAGCCTTCCGGCCAACGTTCCCTCTGCGGAAGCCATGCCCACTCCAAGCCCCGCCACGCCGCTTCCACACACACACACCCCCTGCCGCATGCACACACACAACCCCACGCTCCATCACTCCCCCTGCCGCCGCACACACACACGCAACCCCACTCCCTCCGCCGCTGCACACACACACGCAACCCCACGCTCCATCACTCCCCCCGCCGCCGCACACACACACGCAACCCCACTCCCCCTTCCCCCGCCGCCGCACACACACACGCAACCCCACGCTCCATCACTCCCCCGCCACCGCACACACACGCAACCCCACGCTCCATCACTCCCTGCGCCGCCGCACACACACACACAACCCAC